AGAGCTTTATTCCGACTGTCGTGACGTGCGCCCTACACGGCTGCCACCCAAACTCCATCTAGGGATTTTCCCTAGGCGCTAGGGAAATGTCTCTAGTGTCCCCTACACTGCGTATATTGTGAAACACGTGGGTCAGGGGCAGTCTTTGCTGCGTATTTAGTTACTGTGATGGCTACAATAAGTGGTGGATTTGGGAGGTTATGATTACATTCATATTAAACAATAAATACCATAACAATTATATCAAAAATGTCAATTAGTATGATACTCTATTTTAGTTTAACAAAATAAAATACTGATTTTTTTAACGTGTCAACTTACTTTCCGAGGTGGCTGTACATTGGTTACAGTTCGAGTTACAGTTATTGGACTGCAGTTTCCAATTGCACACTCGAGTTTCTTTTCGTCAGAATATCTTAGAACAATTTCACACTTCCTACCCCTTTCCTTTCTTAATAATTGTTGAATAGCATCGATACAACTACGTGGTAAATAGTTCGTAGGAAGGTCGGAACATCGAAATAACTTATAATCGAAATTTTTAGCCAATCGAACACCTTTTGGAGTAAGTTTTCAAATTATGTTCAACTTTGTGTATATCGTAATCCTTAGCAATAATTAAACGTATTTCGAAGGATTTTTAAAAATTTTGTAAATTGTTGAAGTTACAGACAAAGTTGAGTGGTATTTTACTATAGCTGCTGAACTAACAAACGGATGTGAATGCGCTCTTGGCTGCTTGTATCGAAGACATTAGAGTACTAAATAAAAATTGTTTTCCATCATTATTTTTTTTTTTTCTGCAATTTTTTGAAACAGATGTTCTGCTTTCGTGCCGGGGAAATGTTTAAAAATCCGGAAAAATGTCAACATAGATCCATTTGTCCTCTTGACAGATATTTTTTTAAAAACATGGACTATTTAAATTTGGCGCTATGAAAATTAATTTCAGCGAACGCTGCGTAGTGGCGCCACCACTCTGACAGTGCAAGCGTTGCTTTCTTCGGCGGACGAATCGATCAGTGTAGAAACTGATCTCTTTACAGTAAAGACCTCTAAGGTATACCAACGAGTAGTAAATAATAAAAACTATATATTCATAAATATTAAATATTTGAGTATTCGACATAATCCATAACCCAAAATTCTAACAGCGAACTAATTTCCATTTGTGTTTCGTTCGTAAAAATCAGAAATTATAATCCCACTAATAGATATTTTAATACGGCAATCGGGCGAGCGAAGCCTCTGACAAAAATCAGTTTACGAATAACTCTGAAGTTTCTATTCCTTATTCGTTAATATCTGCCCGACTCCGACTTCTAAACGGTACGAGACAGAAAAGAATTTATTAGGAAAACTTATGTGATACTGTCAAAAAATGTTTAGTTCAAAATATATTTTATGCGTAATATTAATACCAAGTCTAAAAGTTAGGGTCACGTACAGTAGAATGATAAAAAGCGAAATACAGTATTGTCTCTATAGAAGCGACGCTCTCAGTGCTGAGACAATGGCCGCCCTCTTGGCCAGCAAATGGACCGATGCGCGCGCATATCAATGATGCGCAAACGCCCAAAATCGGTTTTGCGCGCATCGCGCAGTGAGCGAGGCCAGCTATCCTTCTCGAGCACAAAGCGTGCTCGAGAGGTGCTGCTAATGAGCCTCCTGGTGGCCAGAGAATGAGTTAATTCTTGAACACTGTTGACAGTTTTCTGATTTAACTAAGATCAAGTGCAACATAATTTTTATTATTGTTTTTCATAAATTATGATATACATTTGTCCTTTCTATAAAGTGTATCATCATCTGAAAAAATTTAAATTAATTGTAATTTAATTGACCTATTATATTTGCCTATATCGTGAACGAGTTCTGAGCTTATATAGAGAAAATACTGTATCTTATAAAATAATCAATTTATTATAATAAATAATGGATCCATTGGCGCAAAAAGAATGTACAGTACCGTTCAAAAAGTAGACGTGACCCCCGAAATCTTCGAAACGCTTCCACTTTCGGAATAAACGCATACATCGGATCATGCGGTATCCAATAAAATGTAAGTTTGCCTAATGAAATTTTTTTTTTTCTATCTTCTACCGTTTAGAAGTTACGGCCGGATTCGGCATAAGATCACGATAAGATAAGGAATTATTTTATTAGCGTAGCAGTATAATACGAATTCCATTTAAATAAAATGTACAAAATATTCCACATCAAATTAAACGACAGGAAAATTATTTCTTGGCACGCGTTTGATGTAGATTTTAACAATTTACCGACCGGTAGCGGTTGATTAATCGGCTATCGGTCGGTAAACGTCGACCGATAAAACAGTTGATTAATAGGCTATCGGTCGGTAAGCGTTGGCCGGTAAAACAGTCGATTAATAGGCTATCGGTCGGTAAAGTGTTAATATACATTCATCCCGAAAATGTTTCCATATAAAATTTCATCGACGTTTTAAATCTATGTGTTTTAATTTTTTGTATGATGCTAAATTCTATTTGTAATTTCAATTCTTATAAACTTGCGTTGCTCGTTCGTTACTTTCGAATAGACGTTTCTAGGAAATGTATAATCTATCAAAAATTCTGAATATATCAAACAAAGTCACGATTGTTAATAAAAACATTTTTGTAAAAGAATAAACCAATTTTTAGAGTATCGAATAATACTTTGTAATTAATTTAAATTCTACTATATAACGATGTCTAACTTTGAATTTTTGAATAACTTTAAAAACATACTATTTAATATACGAAACGTATTCAAAACGAAACTAACTTCGAACTCATTTGCAGGCTATATTTGAAAAAGAATTAAAAATTAAAAGCGAAGCCTGCGATATATTCTTTTATTACGAAATTATCAAAGCTACTTGAATATTAACAAAAAAAATGCAAACAAATTGCACATTAGAAATCGTGCACAAAGTGTATGCATTTTAATATGCAGTTATTCGCATTCGAGTTAATTTTGTTAACAAGTTGTAATAATGTATCATAGTTAAATAAAATATGTCTATGCAAAACTTTCAGTAAATACATTTCTCAAATAGTATATACAGAATCAAAGAATATACAGATCACAACAGATACAAAAATGTTTATATCACAATGTACCGTGCAAGTTTTGTATACAAAATTTTTTAATATTATTACAAATAAGAGAGAGGAGATATTCAAGGTGGGCATAGTTATTGCCCCACCCTGTATATTAGGATAGATAAATAACCAATTAAAATATACACACACAGGGTTATGTTACGCACGTTACCCTTAACACTTTACCGACCGATAGCCGATAAAACAGTTTTTTACCGACCGATAGCCGATAAATCAGTTTTTTACCGACCGATAGCCGATAAATCAGTTTTCTACCGACCGATAGCCGATAAATCAGTTTTCTACCGACCGATAGCCGATAAAACAGTTTTTTACCGACCGATAGCCGATAAATCAGTTTTTTACCACTCAACACTTTACCGACCGGGTAGCTTATTAATCGGTTGTCATGAAAATAAAAAATATCACTGGATTTAATTACCCTGTAATTGCAAAAAGAGAACAATATAGTAGCCACTGTCGCAAAGTTTCATTTAACATTCCTATAAGTACAAGAAAAAGTAGATATATAATCTAGAGTCAATCGGTACCGGTCGGTAAAGTGTTAACGCGATGCAAAATTTCTCGCTTCTTTACAGCCATCTGACAGGAAAAGTTTGCAACAAAAGTGAAACTGTATTCGATGTACGATAGATGTCGCTAAAAAAAATTCGTAAACATTTTTTTGTCGTGGCTATAATCAGAATCGTAACTTGGGTATTATAAATAGGAACACATAGTATTTTTTTACCACATTGTTGAGAAGATCGAGTCGGAATACAAAACACACATTACACGATATTTTTACTAACATATTACTGGATTTACAGTACTGGAAATGTAAAACATTTAGCTTCTCGTATTTTACTTTTATACGGTAAACCTAAAAAATTCAGATCTTAGAATGTAAACACGGAACGTTGCTTATGCATATAGTGACTAGCGTAGTAGCGGAGGCTAGCGTAGTTTCGGTAGATCGAGGTGAGGGCGCTGCGAGCAGACGCCAGCGATACGCATTTCGGTCGTCTCCCGCGTCGCAGCCCGAAATAAAGCAGTTTTAAGGTTAACCACGTGGTACTACGGTTAACACATTACCGACCGATAGCCTATTAATCGACTGTTTTACCGGCCAACACTTACCGACCGATAGCGTATTAATCAACTTTTTTACCGACCAACGCTTACCGACCGATAGCCGATTAATCAACCGCTACCGGTCGGTAAAGTGTTAAAAGCAACTGTAACTTTAAAAACCTAGTTCCATGTTTACATTCGGTAATCTCAGATTAAATATGTCTGCACTGTCTAAAAATAAAATACAATAAAATGTTTCCATTTCCACTATTATAAATCTAGTAATTGTGCAATGCATATTTTGAATTTGTCTTGACGTCTTTTACAATATGAAAAGTAAAAGAAATATGTATAAAGTCCCCTCTAAAAAACCCAAATTGACTTTAATTTCACTACAAAACTGTTTTCGAAGTTTTTATTTAAAACTTTTCTATCAGATGGTCATAAATGGCTGAAAAATTGTGCGTTATACTTTTTATATTTAAAATTGGACAATATCCGTTAGTTTTATGTTTTACTTTATTTTGGATGTACTGAAATATAAGTATATTTCACTTGATAAGAAAAAATTTCGTATATTTAGAACGATACTAAAATAATTTTTTTGCACACAGTTTAAATAGGTGTAAGTTCCCCATTAGTGCGCAGAATCAGTGTTTGACATAACATAAGAACACTTTGGGAATTGTAATTTTCAAGCCCGTTTAATTTGATGTGGAACAATTAATATTTTTAAAAAACACATAGTCACAAAGGAAACTAAGGTAAAGCTGGTCAGAGAAGTGCGAACGTAAACTAACATAATGATGATCGTACCTTTATCCTAGATACAGCTTCCTCGGCCTGGCACATGCGCGTAGATTTCGTGGGCTCCCCTTCGCAGACGAGCTGAGTTGATCCGAGATATCTTGCTCTGAACAACACCCCCTCGATTAAAACTGAAGGATCGTCGAGGAGAGCTGAAATAGCCATAGAAACGTACCACTTAGGGCTTGTGTCACGCAATATTTTCTTGTTCGAGCAAACGAACGCTGATAGATACTTAGAATCGAAGAAAGACGCGGATAAAAATTGCATCACTTTTCAGAATTTTCCCCGACACGTTGTCCGTATCTCTCGTATTAAAACACGTGTAATTTTGAATTTAAGGTTAGAATTACCGACGACTTTCTCATAGAGGGCGTTCAACTCTGGGAAAAATTTTAATGGGAGATTCTAGAGGCCAAAATCAGACGAAAATCAATAATACTAATTCGTTGATTGGGGCTTAAAAAGTTATACGCGAAACTAATTGTAAGAACCGAATTAGGTTAGGATTAACGTTAGGATTACGTCTCAGGAAAGATTTTTAACGATCCTTTTCTACAACACGGTCTTTAACACTTTACCGACCGGTAGCGGTTGATTAATCGGCTATCGGTCGGTAAGCGTTGGTCGGTAAAGAAGTTGATTAATACGCTATCGGTCGGTAAGTGTTGGCCGGTAAAAAAGTCGATAAATAGGCTATCGGTCGGTAATGTGTTAAGTGATAAAATTGAATTCATAAACGTAAAAATATACGATTAAGTGGAGACAGCTAATGAAGATTTCTTGATTGGTAGATTGGACGTTGTACTTGAAAGGTTAATTAAATATTGTCAAAGATCGTTCCAAGAACATTGACCAACAAGTCTATTTAAAAAATTAGGGATACAGCGTTTATCGAAAAGAAAATAATAAATACATTTTATCAGAATACTCTTAACGATCCGATTCGAAGCTACTGCTCGAAACCTTATTTAACACTTTACCGACCGATAGCCTATTAATCGACTGTTTTACCGGCCAACGCTTACCGACCGATAGCCTATTAATCAACTGTTTTATCGGTCGACGTTTACCGACCGATAGCCGATTAATCAACCGCTACCGGTCGGTAAAGTGTTAAAACAAAATTAATTAATTTTTATCCAAAATTAATATTTTTTAAATTTTAATTAATTTTCAATTAGATAATGAAAATTAACTATAACGAGTATTCGCTAAAGAGATACGGACTTAAGTCTAATTATCGTTCGGCGATGTTTATTAACCAGTCAAGCAGCAACTATGTAACACGATATATATAAACAGTAAACTTTTAACCTTAAAAACCATTGCAGTGTGGGATAACTACACTAGTGAAAAAAAATTATAAAACACCTCATTCAATCAGTACTAACATACAGGGTGTCCACGCTAAAGTGTAACAGTCGCAATACTTCAATAACTATTGATGATACGAAAAAATTGTTTACATGTAAATTGCAGGATAACATAGGATCTCTATTTTGGCGTAAACAAAAATTTTATTTATATTATTAATTTCAAAGATACGACGGTGAAGTTTCGTTTTTTAAATGGAACTATATATTTTTTTTTGGATCCTGCGATAGTGCTTTTCAAAACGAATTCATTAACCTGCAATTTATTAACCCGATTTTTATTAGTTTTCAAGATATAAGTTATAAGTTTGCGCCAAAATAGAAATTCTTATTTGTTCTGCAATTTACGTATAAACAATTTTTTTATATTTTTTTATAATATTGCGACTGTCACACTTTAGCGTGAATAGATATACGAAGAGTATTCTTAGAATGCTATCTTGATATAAACAAACTAAAAATATAAATGCATTACTCGATAACAAGATGTTTTGAAATTTATACAGAGTGTTTGGCTACCCTTGGGAAAAATTTTAATGGGAGATTCTAGAGGCCAAAATAAGACGAAAATCAAGAATACTAATTTGTTTATTAAGGCTTCGTTAAAGAGTTATTAACGTTTAAAGTTCCGCCTGTGAGATAGGCAACCTGCGCACAGCTGCGTGCGCGCGACAGTGACGTATCGACAGCCATGCGCGCGCAGCTGTTCGCAGATCGCCGTTCTACAGGCGTAACTATAAACGTTAATAACTTTTTAACGAAGCCTCTGTCAACAAATTGGTATTCTTGATTTTCGTCTTATTTTAGCCTCTAGAATCTCCCATTAAAATTTTCCCCATGGGTGGCCGAAAAGTCTGTATAAAGTAAAGTGTAATCGTATTTATAATGAGAAGGTAATATTTAAAATTTACACATAAAACGACGTAACTTTTTTATAGACATAGCTTGACTGGTTAAATTGTTTATTTTTCACTTAAGATTATAATTAAAATTATGTTAGAACTACCTACCGTGTGTACCCAATTGGAATGCAGCAATTAAAAAAGAATATTAATTATTTGTTCATTAGTACACGTTCGATAAATGAAAAGTACAGAATGTATTGATACATTGGTAATTATACAAATAGTAACTATAGGCATCTAAATGACTAAAAGAATACATATTATTTATATCTTTAAATAAAATAAAACATTATAGTCACGATATTGAAAAATCAAGTTTTCAATTTGGTATAATCCACAGGGTGTTCAGCCACCTCTGGAAAAAATTTTAATGGGAGATTCTTGGGGCCAAAATAAGACGAAAATCAAGAATAGCAATTTGTTGATCGAGGCTTCCTTAAAAAGTTATTCATGTTTAAAGTTCCACCTGTAGAACGACAATCTGAGAACTGCGCACGCGCGATAGCGATTCTCACTCAGCAAATTGTAAGGCTATCGATACGTCACTATCGCGCGCACGCAGCTGTGCGCAGGTTGCCCATCCACAGGCGGAACTTTAAACGTTAATAAATTTTTAACGAAGCCTCGATCGACAAATTGCTATTCATGATTTTCGTCTTATTTTGACCTCTAGAATTACCCATTCAAATTTTATCCACATGTGGCCGAACACCCTGTATATTCTTCAAAAAGAAGAAAAATTTATACAGATGTGGTAAAATATAACAAAATATATTAATTTTCAGTTGAGTAACTCACTGTCATAGTATTTCTACATACTACCGTAAAACGAAACGTATGTAACTGTCTAGTCTATGCAAGACGCTTTTCGGTGTGAAGGGCAAGAAATCAGTCATCGTCTTGAAATATAGCGTGTCATTTTTTCAAAAAAACTGTGCGTTAAGGGGTTAAACAAGACACCCTATAGATGGGGGGAGTGACTTAAAATTTTAAGATATTATAGTATCCGTGGAGCAATCACGATGATTTTTAACACTTTACCGACCGGTAGCGGTTGATTAATCGGTTATCGGTCGGTAAGCGTTGGTCGGTAAAAAAGTTGATTAATATGCTATCGGTCGGTAAGTGTTGGCCGGTAAAAAAGTCGATTAATAGGCTATCGGTCGGTAATGTGTTAACAAACATTGCACTACACCCCATATACATATACAGGATGTCCCAAGTTCGAATGGCCAAACTTTGTCAATATATTTTGTGGGTCTAAATACGAAAAAAATATTATATAAACATAGAAACGCTTCAAACTGTATTAAAAAATTGAGACAAAAATGGTTCAATTCTTTGCAAACTGAAAGTATGGAGTATCAACTAATATGTCTGGAACCATACTTTATTTGATTTTGTGTCAGTCGTGTGGCACGCTTCTGGCCGCACGATGGCGCTTTACGTTGAAGTACTGTGGCGGCTAACGTCACGGGCGTAGCAAGCGCCATCTAGTTAAGTCACTAGTTTTAGTTAGTTTTAGTTAGTTTAAGTAAGACCTAAGCCATTAGTTGGTAGTATTAGATTTAACTTGGCATGTTGACTAGCAAACAAAAATGTTTATATCCCAAAAATGGTTGACCTTTCGACCTATGTTTACTAAAGCTTTTTTGCTCAGTACAGTGGATCCTATATACCATATAAATATTGAATGGTTTTTTTTTAACACCCTGTATATCTGAAGACTCTCCCAGCACGAACCTATCCACCACAGTACTGGGTCGACCGTAGGGGAACCCCCAAGTAAAGCTCGTCAGTCGGTCGCGGGGAATTCCCGTGCTTGGCCTTATGGCAGGCTTATGGCCGCAAGATGGCGCTGTACGTTGGAGTACTGGTCGACCGTAGGGGAACTTGTATATTACTATTGAAACAGCTTTATAAAACCATCTCTTCTTCGCTATCTTTGTAATTTCGCTGTATGGTTTATAAGACCTGAATAAATTACATTTTATATTACTATCGGACCACAAGTCGACCGTTTTCAGTGGAGAACTTTAAAAGAAAAGGCATACTGAATAAAAATAAATGAGAATGAATTATATTTTTATAAACGATGGTCGTTTTGAAATGGACTCTTTATCACTTCTGTAAATGCTAGAAGCATCATGCTGTTTCCATTGCCGGAAAAAATTTGAATGGGAGATTCTAAAGGCCAAAATAAGACGAAAGACACGAGTACCAATTTGTTGATGGAGGCTTCGTTAAAAAGTTATTAACAATTAAATTAAAAAATTTCAAATCATTCTGAAAAAATTATTTTCGGTTGCGGTGGTCAATTACAATCATTTTTGGTGAATAGACATACCCTCGAATTCCTACCCACTTTCTAGAAAAAAATTCGAGAAGGTGTGAAATTTTTCGACGGGGGGAAAAAATTGCAAATCGTTCTGGAAAAATTATTTTCGGTTGCGGGGGTCGATTACAATGATTTTTTGTGAATAGACATACCCCCGAAATCCTGCGCACTTTCGAGAAAAAAATTCAGGAAGTTGAACATTTTTGGCGAAATTGAAAAATTTCAAATATTTCTAAAAAAATTATATTTAGTTGCAGGGGTCGATTGCAATCACTTTTGGTCAATAGACATGCCCCTGAAATCCTACCCACTTTTTAGAAAAAAATTCGAGAAGGTGTGAAATTTTTCGACGGAAAAAAAAAATTGCAAATCGTTCTAAAAAAATTATGTTTGGTTGCGGGGGTCGATTACAATGATTTTTAGTGAATAGACATACCCCCGAAATCTTGCGCATTTTGGAGAAAAAAATTCAGTAAAGGCGAAACTTTAAATATCAATAACTTTTTATCAAAGCCTCCATCAACAAATTGGTATTCTTGATTTTCGTCTTATTTTGGCCTCTAGAATCTCCCACTAAAATTTTTCCCAGGGTCTCCGTACATCATATTTTTGTCGTCACTTTTTAATACAACTTCCAAAATCTAACGTTTATATAAAATTTTTTGCCATTTAAACCTATAGAATATACTGATAAAGTTTGACCGTTAAAACCTGGAGGAATTATAAAATATTTATACATACATCATATAAATATTAATATTTCGGTATGTTTAAAGACTTTTAAAATGAAATTAAAAAAGCTACATTCAATATGTTAATTTATAGCGCGACAAATATGTCAGATGTAATAATAAAATTATATAAATTATTTTGATGTTGATATTAATTAAGGATATTGAGAGATATGTAACATGAAATGTACTAAAATGAAGAATGAAATAATTTTGTAATTCTGCTTGTACTCACAAAGGATAAAAAAAATATTGTTCATTACCTTCTTTGTTTCTGCTCTTCTTCTTTTCTTCTTTGTCCTGCGAAACATAAAAGTTTTATACATTGTGTATGACGTAAACGGAATTATGTTAAACAATATCACGACTACGTGCTTTTTGCATGTCACATATCTGATACGGTCTGTTTAAGCTCTATTCATGCAATAAATTTCACAAATTCAATTATGTTTCAATTCAAGGAACCTTTCTGTCGTATCGACTCGTTCAAGCTTCTTCCACAATTTTTATTGCGTATGAACATTGTTGAGACGAACCAAACTATTATATTTTCCCTACGAAAGCATATAATAGTAATATTTTCGAGGATTAGTACAAAAGATTATAAACAAACGACCTATTTCGGTACAACAACAAAGTTGTATCTCTAATAAACATTAAATAATTTTATACTTTCTCTTATCGTGGACGAAAATAATTTTAAAGCCTTTTAAATAGTATCCATTTTTAAAATACAATATATATTCACTATTTTCTTTCTAAATGTTTTTCTATGGTCTTATATACATCTGTATTTTAATAAATGATCTGTAATATCATATGTATGTAATACTTTTTAATAAATGTAAAGTATTTTTAAAATATCGATTAACAAATGCATATCAACTTTTTTCTTCGTTTATATGTATATAAGCTTATTAGTTGTTATTAAGATTAATGTTAATACTACGAAAGAGTTTACTTGCATAGAAAGGAAGAAGCGATGGGAAACATGCATTGTATTGTTTGCTTACTGGAACCGAACAAATAATTCTACGTATTCCAGGGATGAAACTAATTCTATCATGACGTTATTGCAATCATTTATATTAAAAACAAAATCTTTTAACTTGTAACCGCAATCTCGAACAATAAGACCTTCGAAAAGGCAAATACTCTCATTTTTCATTACTACATATATATGAAAGGATTATTGCGATCTTAAGTGGTTCGCTAACAATTGAAAGCAAAAGATCCAAGTCACGTTGGTCAAAATATTTTATAGAAAAATTTTTGTCTTCAAGAGCAACGTAGATATTGATTCCGTTCTTTTGGCAAAAAAATAATAATAAATAATCGTTTAGATTGATTTGGTATGTTCGTAACAATTATTTTGTACGATAAAACCAAAAATGAAAATTACCATTCTCATCGTTTAATAATGCTATCGTAATAGTAATTTTGCATTTATATTGTGATATTTTGACCAAAGTCAACCATTATAAGAGAATATTTGCTCTCGTTCAAGTACATATAGTCAGTCACACAATTCTACACACATCTATAGAAAAAGATGTATGATAGACTGCTTATGTTTGCAACGGAGGACCAATAAACTATTAACACGTACAACGATAGTAGCAACTGTTGTACACATTAGTATACCTATGATAGTTCTATTCTTTTATGTTCTTTTACAAGCAGATTCAATAAATATTAGTATTTATCACCACCGCAATGTGTAAGTAGTCTTTTGCAACTGACTGTACGTGCAGTGACTGAAATAATGATAGGTTTGCACTTCACTTTATTTACCGTTTTTTTCTCTTTTTATATTCTTCGAAACATATTATTGCAACTGCGTTCGTTTCTTGAGCATGTGTTCTACCCAGAATTGAACAAATTATATTCTCGAATAAAAAATACAAATATTAGACTTGCTAGTAAACTGAACGATATAGTTCATATTAAAAATGAAAGAATAGTAAGAAACAACTTATTTCATAACGCCTTGTTGAGAATAAGCATCGCATTCATGTATTTTTAATGAAAATTTGTGTTCATTGGCGCGGTCCCCTCCCTTGCGAAGGTCAGTATTACCTCAGGAGCTCAGTTAGCGGAAAACCGTCAAACTATGAACAGCATTTTCGTTTTGTAAAACTAGATTAATTAAATACATACTTAGGTCGAAACTCTGTTGTATTTATTTAGCAAATATATATACGACACATCTTCTATGTTCGCATTCAAATTGCTAGCACGTTTTTGCTTCATATGCAATTATTAATTTCTCACTGACAATTAAGATTATAATCATTGCGACTCTTTCAATTTGCAGTACATTAGAACAGAAAAATAGTAAGAACGAAGCTCATAATTCACAGATAATTTTGTGCATTTAATACTATTAACAACTCGTACAACTCTGAGACTGATTTATATAGAGAACAATAAAAGGATTAGGATCGTATTAAAATTGTACATTTCTATATATAAATAAAAATGTGATGACCAACAATTGTCACATAAATTGCATTGAACAACAATGATTGGCCAGGTGGCCAACGATAGCTTTGAGGTTATGTTCAGAATGAGTGAACACTTTTATACAATGAAAACTCACAAACTAGAAAATTTAAAGAAAAAGAAAATAGCTCAGAAAAAAAAGATAAAAAAACTGCAAAAGGAACAGGAAAAACACTGGAAGACACTGATAATTACACAAACTAAAATATCAATTTTTAAAATGGTATTATTTCCAAACAAAAACCAATACTTTTTAATGCCAAAGATAATAACTGATAAGTATGAACTAATTTTTGCTTTCAAATTATACATTGAACAAAGTCTAATAAATTGATGCGACCAAAACCAGCGACCAATCACTATCAAATGAGTGAACAATCGTTATTATTTTGATCCAACCAATAATTATGTTTCTTCAAAATTTCTTCATTATTGTGTTGTTTTTATTGTAAATCTCTAATTTGTTGTGCAAATTTTATTAATCTTCAATCTATTATACTTCTTTTTGGAACTGTTTCTGTTTTAAACAGATTTAAGAGACATTCTTCCTTAACGCTAGATTGCCCAAGGAAGTAATTTTGACTGCTTTTTAATTTCAATTAGAAAAACAATTATGTATATAATGACACAATTTCTTATAATTTTGTGACTTTTTGTACAACATATAAATGCGTTTATTAATAATTGTAGTTACCTCTCCCCTCCTTCATTTCCGGTATATATATATGTGTTATACCTATATTGCCCAAAAAAGCAGTCATTTTGACTGCTTGGGAAATTTTAAATAATCAAATCACTCTTATTATTGAATTGAGTAAATTTCTTATATGACCAGTTCGACTCTGTATTGAAATAACAGTTTTCATTTTTTTTCGATTACCAACACATGATAACATACAAGTACATGATAAATTGTCGATTTGGGCTTACCTAACCCAGACCTAACCCAGATCTAATCCAGACCTAACCCAGACCTAACCAGGACATAACCCAGACCCTAGATCTGGGTTAGGTCTGGGTTAGGTCTGGATTAGATCTGAGTTAGATCTGAGTTAGGTCTGGATTAGATCTGAGTTAGCTCTGGGTTAGGTCTGGATTAGATCTGAATTAGATCTGGGTTAGGTCTGGTTTAGGTCTGGGTTAGGTCTGGGTTAGGTCTGGATTAGTTAATAATCCAAATTATCTTAACCCTTTGCACTCCTATGTCGAGTGTGATTCGACATCAATTTTGATCTCAGGAGCACCTTCGTCAAGTCTCACTCGACATTCTTTCAAGTCCAAACCAAACAGATATCGTACACTTGGAAATTACAAAACACAACAACAGTGTAAATAAAACACTTATTTTAACAGGTAAATTTCAAATAAAACACTTAAAAAAGCATTGTTCGTCAAGTCCCATTCGACATTTTTTAGAGTCCAAACCAAATCATACACTTGGAAATTACAAAATACAACAACAGTGTAAATGAGACCTAACCCAGACCTAACCCAGACCTAATCCAGACTTAACCCAGATCTAATCCAGATCTAATCCAGACCTAACCCAGACTTCTTGTACTTATAGGAATGTTAAATGAAACTTTGCGACAGTGGTTACTATATTGTTCTCTTTCTGTTATTATAGGGTAGTTAAATCTAGTGATATTTTTTATTTTCACGACAACCGATTAATAAGCTACCGGTCGGTAAAGTGTTAATCGGTAAAAAAATCGATTAATAGGCTACCGGTCGGTAAAGTGTTAAATGCTGAATCTATTCACTAAAATAACTAAAAAAATGTTTAATGTACATGTGCCCTACATTCCTTATTTTTTGAGTTACAGGCGATTAAAAAATCAAAATAATAGTTCCATTTAGTCGAGCTGGAACGAAATACGGTCCTAAGAAATAATCTCTCGTAATTTCCACAGTGTCAGAAAACTGTTTTTGGTACCCTGTGTATCACACTTATGCCCGCAAGATGGCGCTGTACGTTGGAATACTGGTCGACCGTAGGGGAATACTGGTTCTTCGCTACCTTTGTAATTTCACTGTATGGTTTATTGGACCTCAATAAATTACATTTTATATCACTATCAGACCACACCCTGATTACAAACTTGTACTTTGATTATTTCCAATCGTCCATAACTCGAAAATTAAGTTACGAAAGGTTTATATGACAGCTTTTATTTATTTTAGTATATAGATTTAGCTACACGTATTTCTGAAACACCGTGCACATTAATTTAAAAAAATAATCCCAACTTTATCGCGCATCTTTTAAAATAATTGTATATAACTAAAATGGTCGGTTCCACGTAAAATTTTATGCAAAGCATCAGCGATCGGCAATGCGTTGATATTAATAAAAATTGTGCTGATTGGCTGGGCTACGTTTTTGCGTGAATAGGCTTAAAAAGAATCAATCTTTGACGAATAAAGTTTAAAAATGTTATAAACATACTTTCATTACGTAAAACCTAGGTGAACCTGTTATTATTTCGGTCACTGTTGAGTTCTACTAACAACAAGAGTAACGGAAAGAACTAGAGGCGTGCGGGTACAAAAATTTGCGACATTTAGCCACGCGAATCTTGTGTCGCGAGTCGGCTGATTTTTCAATTCGATTTTACCCTTATTCTTTCACATTTCTAAGTTTTCGTAGTTCAAGTAAAGTAAAACGATTGTTATTTTTTAATGTTCCCTGTGAAAAATACACACACACATTTTACGTACTGTAGGGAGCACGAAGTAACTCCCTAGTTACTCCCGCGGATGGCGCGATTGGGGAAGACCTCTCGATTGTCTCGTGTCTCTCGAGGCCCAGGGAGTACCTAGGGACAAATTCCCTATAGCATCCCGGCCTCTCTCAACGGTTGGCATCGGCGCCAATCGCGCCATCTGCGGGAGTAACTAGGGAGTTACTTCATGCTCCCTACAGTACCCTACATATTGGATACGTCATTAGTTTCTATAAATGATTTTATTATACAGTTATTTTATGTATACTATGTATTTCGTTGTAAAATATAAAATATACCATTTTTCTATACAAACGTAAAGAAAAATAATTATGAACCTAACAAATTCAGACCTGATCCGCATGACCGATAAAATCTGACCGTTTTTCGACTTCTCAAGGATTCTTTTGAGCTTTTTTTTATCTCTCAATGCGTATAACCTTTTCTTCAGAAAAGTCTCACCAGTTCGGGTTGAAGAGAAAATTCTTGAGAGAGGTTATGGACTGAGGGAAAAACTCGACACGCTATCCTGTGGGAAAAAATTCAAGGATCACGATGCCGTCGTTAAAATCGTAGGTCGTCGTGCTCGTTTCCGAGAAACAGAAAAAAAATTCTCAAAATTCGAGGGGAAAAAACAACCATTCCACCGCGTAGAGAACGTAAAACTGCACAAGTTTCGTATAAACGAAAATACGCGTTGACGTGCTCGTTTTCGAGTTAATGGCGAAAAACTGCCAAAAGCGATCGGTCCGGCGGTCGACGCGCGCAACGTGTCAAAGTCCCTCCGGCTCCGAATGATCGCTCCGGCGGTAAATACCGTCGTAGGGCAAAAAATCGACACGCTATCCTGTGGGAAAAAATTCGGGGATCACGATGCCGTCGTTAAATTAACAGGTCACCGAGCTCGTTTCCGAGAAACAGAAAAAAAAATTCTGAAAATTCGAGGGAAAAAAAAACAACCATTCCACCGCGTAGAGGACGTAAAACTGCACAAGTTTCGTATAAACGAAAATACGCGTCGTCGTGCTCGATTCCGAGAAAAAAAGAAAAAAACTCTCAAAATTTAAGGGGGGAAAAACAACCTTTCCCATACAGGATGTTCAACCATCCCTGGGAAAAATTTTAATGGGTAATTCTAGAGGCCAAAATAGAACGAAAATCAAGAATGCTAATTTGTTGATGGAGGCTTCGTTAAAAAGTTATTAACGTTTAAAGTTCCGCCTGTGGATGGGCAACCTGCGCACAGCTGCGTGCGCGCGATAGTGGCGTATCGACAGCCATGCGCGCGCAGCTGAAATTTAAACGTCAATAACTTTTTAACGAGGCCTCCATCAAGAAATTGGTATTCTTGATTTTCGTCTTATTTTGGTCTCTAGAATTACACATTAAAATTTCCCCCAGGGAAAAAGCAATCAAAAGGCAAAGTAGGGGAGTTAACCTAAAACCGGACAGTAGCGATATCTTCAAGTGTGAAACGCTACGCGATCGTTATTTCGCATAAACAATAGTAGGGATAGAATAAACAATGATCAAATTTCGCCATGTTCTAGTCACGCGTACACAGCTTAAAAAATTAGTTGACCATTACATCTAATTAGAAGCTAGTGTTTAAGTTCTCTCAAAGAACCTTGTTGAGACGATCAAAATGGAATACACGGTCACGGCCGAAATACAGTATTGTCTCTACGACGCTAGCGACGCTCTCGGGGCTCGACGCAGTGATGGACAATCGTGGGAATTTTGGACATGCGCAGTAGAATTTTCCCGCGTGGCATTCCTTTCTGCGCATGCGTTAGCTTTCTGCCATAGATGTATCTTTAGCGCAAAAAGAGGTGCATGTTAGGAACTTACTACTAATAATACTTTCTTTTAATTATCTAACGTCTTTATATTGGTTTCCACTCTCACTCTTCTTATCAGGGTTATCCAAATGTGTTAATATTCCAAAACTATCATATTTTTAAAATTTAATTTAACAGACTTTGTATCGCATCATTATCCTACCAGAAAACATAATTACTGTCTATAATACGAGTCGCGTTCAGGCACATTTAACCGATCTCCCATTGGTTTAATATCTCAACTCTCAACCAATGAGAAGATCGGCTAAATTCACCGTTTGATTGGCTGGATCGAAACACCATGACGAGTTCAGCTCAACAAATGATTGCGCAGGGATAACATTAGCTGAACCCTGAACATTTGTCTCTTTGCTTATCGAATACAAAGACATTCGGAAACGTGAAAGAATTCGATTCAAAAATCGATCGACATGCGACGTCGAGATTCGGCCACTCGAATGTTACAAACTTTTTGATTACTCGAGTACTCGAGTATTGGAAATTTCTCGACTTTCGAGACGAATCGAAAATGTCGTTTACCCGCACACCTCTATAAAAAAGAAACAGAAGAAGGAACAGTAGCAGTATCATCAGCAGCAACAGTAGCAGAAGAAGAAAAAGATAGGCTCGTGTAATTGTATTGTAAGGGCACCTTTTTCACCTTGTTGCTCGATTCCTTGAGACTCTGAGGGGACGAGGGAGAATTTTTTGCTGGAGTCTTCTGCGGACTCGACGAGGGTTGCGTAGGAGTGGTAACATCACGGTCGGACGGCGGTGATTTAATAACGGAAACTACCGGAGGTGGCGAGATAGAGGCAGAAGCGGAAGTGGAAACACAGGCGGAGGTAGAAGCTAATGGCTCTGAAGGTACTAGCGGGCTTTCTACCGGAGCAACACTCAGGCTTTTCGGGGGAGTTTGCTTAGGAGTTGACAGTTTTCCACTCATCGGTGGTAACATTGTCCTAGTCTTAGGCTTCCTCCACCCCTATGTAACACCAATTACATTTATGTCATGTTAGTCGGCTTACCCATTAAATGATATATTTGCTCAAGCCGTGCATTAACCACGGAAATCTTTTCTACGTATTTCACGGTTTCTTTTCTCGTTTAATCCTTCATTTTAATTCGACCATTGTTAACACTGGATTTACGGAAGTTGGCAATTTGACGCCATATTTAAAATTGCGGAACGCGTTAATATTATTTTTTAACAACTCATGTTGAATTTGTTTGATGCAATGGCATGAATACATATTCTAATTAAAAGAAAAATCGTATTTTAAATGCCCGTAAATCTAGTGTTAAAGAATAGAGTAAAGGACCTGTTTACTGCCACCTACCAATTACTGTCAACCTAAATTCTTTCATTTTGATACATTCCCACTGGCCAAACCAAATTCGTCAAATTTTCTACGAGATCAATATTATCTTTTTAGATAATTTTAACTGGGAACGATGAGTGAACTTATCATTGGGAAATGAGGTCATGGAATTTTAATAACAAAAGAATATTGTGTTTTATAATATTAAACACTATAACTGCTTCTAAACTTTTGGACAGTAGTGTACCATATATGTATAGGTTCATTTTATCAATTAACAGTTATTTGTTAACACTTTACCGACCGGTAGCGGTTGATTAATCGGCTATCGGTCGGTAAGCGTTGGTCGGTAAAGAAGTTGATTAATATGCTATCGGTCGGTAAGCGTTGGTCGGTAAAACAGTCGATTAATAGGCTATCGGTCGGTAATGTGTTAATATTAATAAGTAAATATTATCCAAATTATATCGTGTTTGGACTCACTTATTTAGAAAAACTTCATAAATACGTTGGTAAAAGATTCATTGAAAAAAAAAGAAACAAGAAAGTTCTATCTTTACATTAACCTACTCAATTGTAATTAAACTACTCTTTTATCTGCGGGTCATTCATGGAGTCATTTCCGTAAACTTTACGAATTATACGAATTTTCTTTCTCGGTCGGTAATGTGTTAAGACCTTATTTTTCGATTTTCGAATTTTTTTTGGGACCCCCCCCTTGAAATGTTGATGCTAGATGAAAAAATAACCTATGCAAAATCTGATATTGATCGGAAAACGGGAAAACGTGGCACATCGCAGTTGAAAATTTGGTGTTTTTGTAACTTGGTTTTCTCCATTAAAGTGAATCGCCACCATACATTTTAGCACCTCTTTGAATTCGTCTTTTTACGCTTTATAAAAATATAGAAACAAGATTTTGAATTTTTTTGTTTTTTATAAGTCGAGATTCTCAAATTTTAAAAGCTTATTGTGGAAAAAAATATACTTTTTCGCATTAAAAATTTTAATGGGGGATTCTATAAAAAATGATTGTAATTGACACCCGCAACCCAAGATAATTTTTCCAGAATTATTTGAAAATTTTTTTTTCGTCTAATTTAGGCACCTAATTAGATTTTCGGTAAGGAATTTTTTTCTCGAAAATGCGTAGGATTTCGGGGGTATGTGTAATGACCAAAAATGATTGCAATTGACCCCCGCAACCGAAAATAATTTTTCCAGAACGATTTGAAATTCTTTTTTCCCCGTCGAAAAATTTCACACATTTTCGAATTTTTTTCTAGAAAATGGATAGGATTTCGGGGGTATGTCTATTCACCAAAAGTGATTGTAAATAACCCCCCTAGCTAGAAATAATTTTTTTAGTGCGATCTGAAATTTTGTTTTTCCGTCGAAAAATTTAAGCACAATTTTCCTTAAGAATTCGTTTTTGATTTTTAGTAATTTTGTTTGACACCCTATAGAAAAGTTGTCTAATACTTTTTTGTTGGTATCCATGAGCTCTACTTCAGAAAAAAGTTTCAGTGATATGTATTCGCTATTGTAAGAGTTATGGCTGTTTGAAAATTGGACCATTTTTATGGGGTTTTTCTCACTTTTGCAGAGTCAAGGAACAACTTTTCATATATTTTTGGAATTTCTACATATTCTGCATCAAAATACGCGCTGTTTATGTTTTGAAACTTTAAAATCCTCCAATCCGTTCAGAAGTTATGACATTTTAAAGATACTCACATTAGATTTTCAGTAAGGAATTTTTTTCTCGAAAATGCGTAGGATTTCGGGGGTATGTGTAATGATAAAAAATAATTGCAATCGACCTCTGCAACCGAAAATATTTTTTTGTAATTATTCTTGTAGCCCGTTTTTCTCTATTGAAGTGTAAGAATTTTATTGTAATCAATTTTAAATTATCGTTATAGTTAATTTTTACTATTCAATTAAAAATTAGATATAATTTCAATTTTAAAATTTAAAAAAAAAACCCAGACCTAACTTTATATTTTAACACTTTACCGACCGGTAGCCTATTAATCGACTTTTTACCGACCGATAGCCGATAAATCAGTTTTTTGCCGCTCAACACTTTACCGACCGGGTAGCTTATTAATCGGTTGTCATGAAAATAAAAAATATCAATGGATTTAATTACCCTGTAATTGCAGAAAGAGAACAATATAGTAACCACTGCCGCAAAGTTTCATTTAACATTTCTATAAGTACAAGAAAAAGTAGATATATAATCTAGAGTCAATCGGTACCGGTCGGTAAAGTGTTAAAAATATTAATTTTGGAAATTGAAGATAAATTTTTTTTTTTGAAAATTAAATGCACATTAATATTAGAATTCTTTGTTTCTATATTCTTATATAGTGTAAAAAGAAGAATTCAAAGAGGTACTGAAATGTATGATACCGGTACACAGTCCCAAAAAATTCCAAAGTTGAGAAATAAGGCCCACCTTAATGTTCATTGGTTGAAATAATCATAGATTCACTGTTCCTATCTCTATGACCAGTTTTACTTGTCACCGTCCCACAAATATACAGGGTGTTCGACTACTTTTGGAAAAAAATTTGATGGGAGATTCTAGAGGTTAAAATAAGGCAAAAATCAAGAATATTAACTTACTAATCATCTATTTATACACTTTCGTTGGAAATTAACATATGATAAAATAAAGTATCAATTTTGACATAATTTATCAAAAAATAAAGTAAATCATTCAGTCCATGTGTTATTTATGCAAAAATGAAGAAGAAATTTAACGTGGAATAAAATAAAATTATTTTGGTAATGTGCGGACTGCCCTTTGTTGCACCACTTTAATTATTTTTCTTAGTAAACTTCTATACAGGTTTTTTGTATCATTTTGATCCAAGCTTTTCCAAGCTTCTGGAATAGCTGATTTTAATTCGGGGATTGTATTATAAGACTGCCTACCTTCATGTAATATTCCGCTTAGTTTACCTCAAACGTTCTCTAGAATTTTAGGTCAGAAGACCTTGCAGGTCAAAAACCTTTACATTTCCCGCTTTAAAATAATTTTTTACTATGCGAGACGTATGCACAATTGCATTATTCTGCTGAAATATACCGGGTGTTCGGCCATCCCTGGAAAAAATTGTAATGGGAAATTCTAGAGGTAAAAATAAAACGAAAATGAAGAATACCAATTTGTTGACAGAGGTTTCGTTAAAAAGTTATTAACGTTTAAAGTTCCGCGTGTAGAACGGCGATCTGCGAACAGCTGCGCGCGCATGGCTGTCGATACGTCACTGTCGCGCGCACGCAGCTGTGCGCAGGTTGCCTATCTCACAGGCGGAACTTTAAACGTTAATAACTCTTTAACGAAGCCTCTATCAACAAATTGGTATTCTTGATTTTCGTCTTATTTTGGCCTCTAGAATCTCCCATTAAAAGGACCCCGCACAGATCTTATGGAAAATGGCCACCGGTTAAATTAGCTGAACTTTTCTTGATAAAAAGTTCCAATGGGCCCGATATTTGGCACAGATAGTCATATATCAGTCGTTTATACATATTTTTTAATCAACGAACTATCAAATTACTCTTAAAAGATGTATTTATAAATTATCAAAATCCTACTCTTATCGTGTGATTATTTGACCAAAAAAATATTAAAAAATGTATAGTGCACTCTTAATACTCTGCATTTGCTCTTTGAAACTATTGAAACGATATCTGAATTAATTTTCAACAACGTTAAAAGTAAAACAAATTAATAAATGTTCTATATCTAGTAGAACGAAAAAGGAAACAATTGCACAAGAATATCTATTTTTATAAATTTGTTTCCCATACTAAAGGCATCAACATTATAAACAGTAAAGTGAAATTAACAAAAATTCAAGATATTTGTTTATATTTCATATTTTAATAAAAATAAATGATTATATAAATTTGAGCAAAGCATACGATAAAAAACATCGTAATTGTATTCAAATATATATTTTTCTATTTTTCTATTTAATAATTTAACTCTCTTGTCATTAGTATAAAATAATTATAGGATTTAACCTAAAAATCTGTTGGCTTTATGGAGGTTATCAAGCAGTGTATTATAGTATATGTTATAACCTGTTTCTATTTATTGAAACATGCAGCAGGAAAGTATTATCGAAGTTTATTAATGCACGAATTTGATTTTGGCTCGAGGGGACAGTAATTGGGTTTTTTTATTCTAGCAGTATTTGGTCAGCTGACTGTACTTAATCATCAAACACATTTTAACGATGACAACAACACTGGTCAACAAATTAAATTTATACCAAATTATAAAATAAAATCGAATTATAAAATTGTAACTCTGGTTTGTTAAATATAAGGCATGATTTATTTAATTCAAGTATTGTAGGTTATGTTAGAGTTATATATATAAATTGACAATGAAAAATGGCGGGGAAATAATTGAAAACGGACATATTAAAAAATAAAAACACAATCTATACTTTATTTGAATATTTTAATGAACAATTCATTAAAAAAAAACTTTAATAAAATGAATTATTTATGTATATTGAATAAAAAATGTAAAAGTACACCTATTTTATCTTCACAAAATTGAGCGTACATCAAATATTTAAAAAATGAGTTTTTTAAAGTTTATTTTGTATTATCTTTGTTTGGAATTTCTTCA